TCAGTGGCGACAGAAAGATTCGAGAATTTCGTTCTCACCATATCAATAGCGACAGTACTCGAAAAATACACAAACTCCACGCGTTCCCACAGCAGTGTTGAACGTGAAATTAAGCTGGTATTAATACATAAGCGATTTAAAAGCTAAACACCCAGCGTCTACATATATTCCAATACCAAACATCAATGATGAACTAGCGATTCGACATCTATGGAATATTAAAGTCTGTCCAATACGAGAACGATTTCTACACACCCACACACACAGAAAAAAACCAGTTTGTTCGTAAAACAAACTGACAATACAAGAGCGTAAGTACTATTTACGACTCAAGTTTTCGAAAAGAAAAACTATCTAAAGTTTTTTTTTATGTAACTGAGTTGAACTCGTGCATAAAATTATTCTCCCCTCAAATTCACTGAGGTGAGTTTTCTCTTTTTATAACTATAAAAAAATACATAAGTGTGGTGAAAATTTATTCAATTACGTCAAAATTAACGGAACCACGGAAAAAAAAGCTAAACACATAATTAGTTTAGTTTAATTATTGTCTGTCCATATTTTTTCTCTGTAAAAGAAAAAAAAGGGAACAAAAATCTATCAAGATTTTTTTTGTGTACCTCCTCTTAGTACACGTGTTTCAAAGCAACAAAAATAAAAGCGCTGTCATTTTTAAATATGGAAGATTTGCAAAAAGTAGTTACCCAAATGTTAAAACTAAATTTGGATCAGCAACAAAAATCAGAAGAAAGACAACAACAACTATTTTTGAAATTACATAAACAACAAAGGGAATTCAAAAAAATTACGCTTCAGAATGCTGAACTACAACAGAAACAACTTAAAGAATTACTCATAAATGCATTAAAAGGCTCAAACTCTGAAAAAGATACAATATTCTCCCAGAGTACACTCTACAATTCAATGGAAACATTTGAATACGTACCAGAGAACGACAAAATGTTCGACGCTTTTTACAGGCGCTACGAAGATATTTTCAACGTAGACTGTGAACAATGGTCCAGTAAAAAGAAGGTAGGTCTACTATTGAGAAAACTGGGAACTACAGAACATAGTAGGTTCGTAGACTTCATACTACCCAAGAAAACGACTAACTTGGATTTTTCAGAGGTTATTAAACTCCTATCGGAAGTATTCGGGCCTAACACAACCTTGTTCCACAAACGTTGGAAATGCCTGAACACAGTCAAAGACAACCAGCAAGATTTTCTAACGTTTGCAGCATCGGTAAACAAGCTCTGTAATGATTTTAAACTAGCCGAACTGACTGCCGATGATTTTAAGTGCTTGATTTTCGCACAAGGCCTAGTATCAGCAGAAGACGCCGAAGTCAGACGACGGGTACTGACCAAGCTTGAGAACGAACAAGGATTGACTCTCCAAAAACTGGCAGAGGACTGTCAAAGAGTAATATCTGTAAAGCGTGACTCAAACACTATCGAGGAATCAGGTGTGACTCAGATTAATAAAATCAGAAGCAAGTCTAACTCCTATTCCCCTCAAAAAGACAAAAGGCAAATCTCATGTCCTAAATTCCGCAGTAACCAAAACCCAAATAAGTTAAAGAAATCGCCTGGACCATGTTACCATTGTGGTAAATGGCATTGGATGAAATTCTGACCAGTTAAGAACAAAAATATTGCAAAAATTGCAATAAAAGTGGTCATACTTTAACTTCGTGCTGGTACGCCAACAGAACGAGAAAACCCAAAAATAAAATTAGGCAAGCTCAATTTGACAATATTGTTGATAGGAATTTAAGAAAATATGTAACAATGGATATTTTCAATAAGTCCATTAAATTCCATCTTGACTCGGATTCCGATCTTTCAACCATTAACTGGCGTACTTGGCGAAAATTGAACAAGCCGACTTTATTAAAAACGGATAAAACAGCAAAATCCGTAACTGGCGAAAAGATTAACATTTTAGACGAGGTAATACTTACAGTAACACTAAATGGAGTTACCAAAAAGCTCAAAGCCTACGTATTAAAACTTCAGACCAATTATTTGGAACTGGTTGGATAGAAAAATTCAATCTTTGGGATTGGCCTAATGAGTACATTTTGTCGCAAGATACAAAGTACAACGTCCAATTTGGTAAATCTAAAAAAGAAACTCAAACAATTTCCCCAGGTTTTTTTCTGGAGGCCTTGGGAAATGTACTAAAATGAAAGCTAAGTTCAAGGTGAAGGACGGTGCACAACCGGTATTAAAAAAGAAACGGAATGTCCCTTTCGCTGCTCTAAAGCAAAGCAACAAAGAGTTAGATAGACTCGAACAAGCAGGTAGTCTGTCAAAAACAGATTTCAGTGAGTAGGCAACACCTACGGTCTACGTAAAAAAGAAGTCCAATCAAATACGAGCCAACGCGATCAGAAACATGCCGGCCCCAGATAACGTTCAAGCGTTACAAAGCTTCATCGGTCTAGCTAATTTTTACCAAGGGTTCATTAAGAACATGCAAAATTTGAGAAGGCCTCTCAACCAACTTTTAAAAAAGGATAAACCATGGTCATGGAGCCGGAATGCCAAGACGCATTCGAGAAGATCAAGAAAACTCTTACTTCAGACCTCTCCCTCACCCATTACGACCCTAGTCTCGACATCATAGTCGCAAGTGATGCAAGCTCGTACGGCATTGGTGCTTGCATTTTACATAAACTGCCAGATGGTTCGCGAAAAGCTGTGGCTCATGCATCAAGATTTCTAGTTCGATCTCGACATGCCCCAAGTCTCTCCTGAGTGCGACGCTCAGGAAGGAAAAGGAAATTTACTCAACCGCTCGACGTAAATCCCAAGAGGAAAAAGTATTAACAGTTTTATTTTTTCTCTCCTTTTCAAAAAAAATCTTTGGAAGGGGGGGTATTGTGGGACCGGAAACTACCTACACAATAGACTCTTCCAGGACTATATTAAGTAGGCGACATAGCACTCTAGAGAGTGACAGAGAGTAACATATAGTAAACCCCGCTTACACTATCTCCGTAACCTGTTGTTAATATATCTTTCTTACATCTAATCCGTGTTCCGTGTTTTACTTCTATGGTCCCAACTTTGGCCCCAAATCAATACTATAATTTATTTTCCATATTTTCTGCTACACGCGTTTCGGGTCCTGTTACCTTCATCAGGCGAACATATATATTTTTTTTTTACATATTATTTAAACGAATTATTTTTTCTGTTTTCTTATGCTTAACCATTGTCTTTTATGTGTGGTAATAATCCAAATTCTTGTTGGACATTTCCTTAGCTTAAGGGGTAATAAAACAATTAAGTTTGGTCAGAGAAAGGGGAAGGAGTGAGGTCTTTGTTCCTATCTTTTTATGTCCTCTGTATCTTTTTAAACCTTTTCATTTTTTGTGTATTGTGTATATATATATATATATATATATATATATATATATATATATATATATATATATATATATATATATTTCTCTTCTTCACACACATATTGTCTTATTACAAGGAAATATATATATATACAGACACTTGTGAGAATGGTGAGTAAGGTCGTGTGTGTGTGTGTGTGTGTGTGTGTGTGTGTGTGTGTGTGTGTGTGTGTGTGTGTGTGTGTGTGTGTTTGTTTTTGCCAGTATATGTGCATATATTTGTCCTCCATACATATATACTATATATCATATTATTATAAAGAAATCTATACAGTAACAACATCTATTTTGTATGGTGTGTGTGTGTGTGTGTGTGTGTGTTTTTGCCAGTATATGTGCATATATTTGTCCTCCATACATATATACTATATATCATATTATTATAAAGAAATCTATACAGTAACAACATCTATTTTGTATGGTGTGTGTGTGTGTGTGTGTGGTCCGACTAATGTGTTTTGCCGCTATGTCTGTATGGTGTGTTTTTATGTGCGTGAGGTTAGGATTTGTTTGATGCTGGTTTAAATTTGTCTATAAAGTTTTTAAATATATGTGTGTGTGTTTGTATGTGTTACGTTTTTAGACCTTATTAAAAACGTGACAAGCATTTTCTTTTTTGTTCTTTTTCTTCTGTGCCATATCCTTTCAGGACGTAGACAATCGCGTCTCTCTCACGGCTATGAGTTAATTACTCGGACTTGTATCACTAAATCGATTTAAATAACCTGCAAAGGATTGATAAGCCGTAAAAAAAACTGAATCAATCAATAAATAAATCAATAAAAAAATATTTGCTCTTCCTTTTTATTTATTTGTGCTTTTTTCTTTCTTTTTCTTTTGGTTTTCTATCGATTATGACGAATTATTTCCCCAGTTTGGGCTTACCCATATCTCTCCATTCGTCCTTTTTCCCTCTGGCCTTTACCGATATTTGGAAACTTAAGCCGGATGGAATTAAATTCAAAACTCTGCATTTGCAGAGAAATTTTAAGTGGTTAGACATTTATACCAACTTTAAGTAGAGCTTTCCTATTCATCTCCATTTCTGTTTTCCGTCAGATCTGTTTTTTGTTTGTTTTATTTTTTTTATTTGGTTTCGATTCCTAATATCAGTTTTTCACTGAACGGAATCATTTTTTTCTCGTACAAACATATCAAACAAAATCGCCTGCGATATTCAGGCGATCTGCTTCATTGCTAAAATTTATCCTATTTATGCCGGCTTATATCAACTGGTTCTTTTTTTATTTTACAATTAGTTGAGCTAATGCCTGTCTTTTTTTTTTTTTTTTTTTTGTGGTTTCACAATTCAATCTTTTAATGATTTCACACTGAACGTTCCAGTTACAAAATAAAATGCAGTTGCTTTTTACGTATGTGTGATTGGAATGTTTCTAGATACAACACGAGACCCACTTTTCTTCTTGGCATTCAACCAAATTAACACCGAATTGGAAAACAGATAAAAAAGAATAATTATAAATATCGCTACATCGAGAGAGGGACAGATCCACACGAACAGAGATACATCGATATGGCATATAATTTAAAATTCACACAGCTAGAAAAACAATATTATATGGGCGTGGGAGAAGAATATGTCTACTTCTACGCCGTGTTTCTTCAAACATAGGCGATGATGGCTCTCCAAAACATTCTATCACGCGTGGTACTTAGCAGTTATTATCCCTTTACACCCGCCTCCACTTTGCGCCATCCATTCAGATAAGTGGTTCACTTCCTTTGCCATCTGCGTTACTAAGTGGTTCAGTGCCTTTCACCGCTCAGTTACTAAGCGGTTCACTGCCTTTCCCTTTCCGTTACTAAGCGGTTCACTGTCATTCCCTCTCCGTTACTAATTGTACCATGTCTTTCCCTCTCCGTTACGAAGAGGTTCCCTACCTTTCCCTTTTTCGTTACTAAGTGGTTCACTGCCTTTCCCCTCTACGTTATTACGCTTGTATTTGCCTTTCCCCTATCCGTTATTAAGTGGTTCCTTGCCTTTACCCTATCCATTATTAAATGGTTCTTTGCCTTTCCCTTATCCGTTAATAAGTGGTTCCGTACCATTCTCTTCTCCGTTACTAAGTGGTTCCCAGCCTTTTCTCTCTCCGTTACGAAGAGGTTCCCTGCCTTTCCCTTTTTCGTTACTAAGTGGTTCACTGCTATTCCCCTCCACGTTATTACGCTTGTCATTGCCTTTCCCCTACCCGTTATTAAGTGGTTCCTTGCCTTTCCCCTATCCGTTATTAAGTGGTTCCTTGCCTTTCTCCTACCCGTTATTAAGTGGTTCCTTGCCTTTCCCCTATCCGTTATAAAGTGGTTCCTTGCCTTTCCCCTATCCGTTATTAAGTGGTTCCTTGACTTTCCCCTATCTGTTACTAAGTGGTTCCGTACCATTCTCTTCGCCGTTACTAAGTAGTTCACAGCCTTTTATCTCTCCATTACGAAGAGGTTCACTGTCTTTCCCTTTTTCGTTACTAAGTGGTTCACTGCCCTTCCCCTCTACGTTATTACGCTTGTCAATGCCTTTCCCCTATAAGTTATTAACTGGTTCCTTGCCTTTCCCCTATCCGTTACTAAGTGGTTCCGTACCATTCTCTTCTCCGTTACTAAGTGGTTCACAGCCTTTTCCCTCTCCGTTACGAAGTGGTTCCCTGCCTTTCCCTTCTTCCGTACTAAGTTGTTCACTGCCTTTCCCCTCTACGTCATTGCGCTTGTATTTGCCTTTCCCCTATCCGTTATAAAGTGGTTCCTTGCCTTTCCCCTATCTGTTACTAAGTGGTTCCCAGCCTTTTATCTCTCCGTTACGAAGAGGTTCCCTGCCTTTCCATTTTTCGTTACCAAATGGTTCACTGCCTTTCCTCTCTACGTTATTACGCTTTTCAATGCCTTTCCCCTATTCGTTATTAACTGGTTCCTTGCCTTTCCCCCTTCCGTTATTAAGTGGTTCCTTGCCTTTCCCCTATCTGTTACTAAATGGTTGCTAGCCTTTTATCTCTTTGTTACGAAGAGGTTCCCTGCCTTTCGTTTTTTCGTTACTAAGTGGTTCACTGCCTTTCCCCTATTCGTTATTACGCTTGTCAATGCCTTTCCCCTATTCGTTATTAAGTGGTTCCGTACCATTCTCTTCTCCGTTACTAAGTGGTTCACTACCTTTTCCCTCTCCGTTACGAAGTGGTTCCCTGCCTTTCCCTTCTTCCGTACTAAGTTGTTCACTGCCTTTCCCCTCTACGTTATTACGCTTGTATTTGCCTTTCCCCTATCCGTTATTAAGTGTTTCCTTGCCTTTCCCCTATCTGTTACTAAGTGGTTCCCAGCTTTTTATCTCTCCGTTACGAAGAGGTTCCCTGTCTTTCTCTTTTTCGTTACTAAGTGGTTCACTGCCTTCCCCCTCTACGTTACTACGCTTGTATTTACCTTTCCCCTATCCGTTATTAAGTGGTTCCCAGCCTTTTATCTCTCCGTTACGAAGAGGTTCCCTGCCTTTCCTTTTTTTCGTTACTAAGTGGTTCACTGCCCTTCCCTCTACGTTATTACGCTTGTCAATGCCTTTCCCCTATTCGTTATTAACTGGTTTATTGCCCTTCCCCTATCCGTTAATAAGTGGTTCCGTACCATTCTCTTCTCCGTTACTAAGTGGTTCACAGCCTTTTCCCTCTCCGTTACGAAGGGGTTCCCTGCCTTTCCCTTCTTCCGTACTAAATAGTTCACTGCCTTTCCCCTCTACGTTATTACGCTTGTATTTGCCTTTCCCTCTCCGTTATTAAGTGGTTCCTTATCCTAAGTGGTTCCCCTATCTGTTACGTTACTAGTGGTTCCCTGCCTTTTTACGCTTTTCAATCTCCGTTATTAAAGAGGTTCCGTTACCCTTTCTCTTCTTCCGTACTAAGTTGTTCACTGCCTTTCCCCTCTCCGTTATTAAGTGGTTCCTTGCCTTTCCACCCTCCATTATTAAGTGGTTCCTTGCCTTTCCCCTATCTGTTAAGTTTAATATACTCCCTGAGCGTTAACTTTTTTAACTTCTTATGTATCTCCATAGAATTTCATCTTGTCTTTTCCTGATTCTGAGTATAAGCGTTCTTTCTGTTGTCATCTTTAAGATTTTCTTCGTTGCTTACTCGTTCTGTCCATAGAATTCTCACTGTCCTTCTGTAGAACCATATTTCTGTTGCCTCGCGTTTTCTTCCCATCCGTGGGGAGATTCTCCATCATTCACTGTCGTATGAGGGCGGATATCACATAGCAATCCAGCACTTTTTTTTTTTTTGTCTTTAACAATTTTTTCTTTTATAATGTTTCTTTCGTTAGTTCAGTACGTGTTCGTATCTCGGTGACGCATTTACCATCCACTGTTAAAATAATTCCAAGATATTTAAACTTCTGTACTTGATTAATGCTTGTATATCCAATTCGTAACTAGCGTCTTGCGTTTTTTCTCTTGCTAATGAACATACTTTTTGTTTTCTTTCAGATAATAATTCTCCGCTGCCGTTTGAGATTGTCTGTTGAGGCTTTCCTGCTGCTTCCTTAAGGAGATTCCTCAAGTGCGCTATTATCCAAGAGCCGAATGAGGTGATAAAGACCTCTGATGAGAAAGCAGTGGAAGGCAGTGCATGGATTAACCAGAAATACGCATCAAGTCACGTCCAGCTAACAACATAGACCGGTTGCAATGTAACATCATCCAGCTGCAGATTCAAGAAACAGGCGCACTCTGATGGTAATGCCGATAACAATGTGCTCCCGTGCGGATCCATGCAACGGGCGCTTCCAGATGGCGATGACAATAAAGATGTGCTCTGATGAGGATTCATCCAACCGGCGCACCCTATTGTGATGACGATAACGATGTGCTCCCGTGAGTATACATGCACCCGGCGCAACCTATGTTGGTGACGATAACGATGTGCTCCCATGTGGATCCCTGCAACCGGCGCCCCATATGCTGATGACGATAATCATGTGCTCAGCTGAGGATCCATGCAAGCGGCACGTCCAAATGGCGATGATGATAACGATGTGCTCCCATGTGGATCCCTGCAACCGGCGCCCCATATGCTGATGACGATAATCATGTGCTCCGCTGAGGATCCATGCAACCGGCACGTCCAAATGGCGATGATGATAACGATGTGCTCCGGTGAGGGTTCATGCAACCGGCGCGCCCTGATGGCGATGATGATAACGATTTCCTTAGGAAAGCTATGACTCCACCTCTTCTCCTCACATCTACGGGTTAATTAGTAGGGCTTGTATCAGTATACTATTATTATTTTTTTAAAAATGACAATCTAAATATATTTTCTGGATTTAAATTACACCCAAAGGGTTGATAATCCTGAAAAAAACAATCAATTTACGAGCAGTATTAGTCCTGGATATGACGATAAACTACATCTGATCCAGAGATTGGATGTTTTAGAGAGAATAGAACCTCCTCTTAACTCCTGTTGCTCACCCTGATCGGCGTGGTAGCACCTCTTAGTCCCAGTTATGGGGAAACAGTGAACCCCCAAAGAAAGACAAAACTCTATGAAAATATAAAAATACATATTTATAGTAAAATTACCAGCAATACATTTTATAGTAGAATAACCGACAGTACATTTTATTGGAAAATGGTCAACAAAACATTTTATCTGTAGTTGAAGGCATGCAATTGTGTTCAAAATATATTTAGTTGAAGCCGTAAAATTCTGTTCAAAATATTTAGATTTCGGCATTAAATAACCCGTAGTGGTGTTGATATGTCGCTAAACGAAATGAACCAACCAAACAAGCAGTAATTATTTTTCAGTTTCCCGCTAACTAAAATGGGTAGCACATGCAAATCGAAGAGAAAATAATGACATAATTAAGATATTGACGTTCCACACTACCTCAAACAAAAGGTTAGGTAGGAAATCAATACTGTAAGATGGAATAACAGTAACTGAACTTGAAAAATCGATTTTCCTGAAAAATTGTTTTAATAGTAACATTTTATAAATTTCAACCGACTGGCTGCTAGGTCAATGAATGCTAAATGTTTCCTGATAAGGAAACGGTTAAAATTAACGTTACCATAAATTTGCTGAAGCATTTTTTTCATTGGACATTCTTTTTATATGTCAAAGGCACCTCCCATTAATCTTTACGAATCTAACTTGGATGTACACCGTATGAAAAAGTAGCAATATTTAATGAATAGACGCTTGCCTCGCTCGGAGATTTTCCTGTTATAAATAAATTTAATCTAGTGGGACTTTTCTAAGAAGTACGGGGGTGTCGTGGGTAAAAGGAATAAGATTATTAATCATAGAGCAAAGACGAATGGGCCTGCCCTGTGGCAAATTTAGTCGCATTTTCCCCACCGGCGACACAAGTCGTTATTAGAATGCTTATTGCCCGAGGACGCGACCTCTCATTGCACCAGAGAAAGGGATCGATGCTCGCACCGAGGCCAGCGCAACCGACGGTTGCGGGGGCTCGGGCAATTTTTGTTCCTAGCCCGGGTGTACGTGCTCTGGATCCCCACATTAAATCGACCTTGTGTCACAACCTGACCTCGTGGGTGGTTGAGTAAATACAAATTAGAATGCTTATTTTCAAGACAAGAAACGTCATCCTACTTGCCGCAACAGAATTCGTGTTCGTTTTTGTTATATTTAGAATTGGACGGAACAATGTGCCAAAAATAAAGACTAAATGTAGTAGAAAAAATAGTTCTCTATATTATATCCGTGTTTGGTTTTTTGGGGGGTGGGGGGCTTGCCATTTTTATCGTTTTAGAGTATTACAATTTTCATGATAAATATCCACGATGTACAATGTTGTTTGTCCGGAAATAATTCAAACATCTAAAATTAACGAAATAATAATAGGGTATTACCGATCGCGGTTCTACACAATTTTCTGTCCTTTGCGGCTCACAACTTTTGTCTTTTTGTTATCATTCCCAAACCCTGCTTCGTCATCCATTTACTCAAGCTTACTAAGTATGTTATGCATTGCTTTCCTCTGTTTCCTTTAGCTTCAATCTGTCCTGTGAGTATCAGATTTTCCAAACCCTCTTTCCTCACTATGTGCCCCAGAAATGTCAACTGTCACTTCCTGATGTTAAATATAAGTGTCCTTTTTGTTGCTATTATCTCTAAAACTTCGTTATTACCTACATGCTTGGTCTATGGTATTCTCAGCATCCTTCTGTAGAACGACATTATTGTTGTTTCAAGTCACTTCTTCATCTGTGGTGAGATTGTTTAGCATTTACAGCCATATAAGAGGACTGAAACTATATAACAGTTCAGTACTCTTTTCCTTTGTTCTTAAAGATATTTTTCTTTTTCTTCATACTTTGCTCGTCTTTTGGAAGGCATCTTTCGACAAATGTTACTGAGAGAAAATTATAAATAAAGGTCGTAAAAGCGGAAGAAACTTTTTTTTTTTTTTTTGTTAATCTACAATTAGTAAATTAGTAAGCAACTTTTAATAGTTGTGAATAAATAGCAAGCTGTTGGAAGATTGGATTTGTTTTTGGGAGGTACTGCCCACAATTTAAGGAGAGTAACTCGAGTTTTTTTTTTTTTAATAAATTAGTTTTTTTTTTTAAAACTTGTGCTATATCATCTTTTTAACGATGATGGCCTGTCGGTATTTCGCCCGTTCCACATTATATCTGTTCGACATTTTGTCCATTCGTCATTTTCTCCATCGACATTTCGTTCGCTGACATTTTATATAAGCTCTCCTGATTAAACCTTCTTGCGTTTTGACTACGGTACAATACTTAATAGAAATGCGAAAAAGATTGTAAATAAAACTGGGTAGGAATAAAAAAAAAAATTTAAAAAAAAACTTTCTATGGTCTGTGTTAATTGTAACTCTAAACTACTAAACTATATGGTGGACTCTCCTATGGATAAATGAGGTATATATATATATATATATATATATATATATATATATATATATATATATATATATATATATATATATATATATATATGGTTACAGTTGTTTCAACAAAGAAAAGTGTACATATTAAAAAAAAGAAAACTGCAAACGTAAACAGAATTGACTACTGTATTTGGTTATTATGTGTGTAGGCTGTGTGTTTTTTTTTTGGGGGGTTTATGATCTGTTTAATGCTGGTTTCAATTTGTTTATGAATTTTTTTTCTTGTATTTGTAGGTAAGAATAATTGCTTGGTATATTGACATTATTTTAAATTCTGTTATGCTGACATAGAAGATTGCTCTGCGACGATAACGGTCGCGAAATATCAGAGGCAAATCGTAAATTCATAATGCAGTTCTATGACGTTGCATCACGCGAAAGAAAGAAAATATATATGCAATATATAAACTCTTAACACCAGGCCACGAAAGACTTTTAAGTCACTACCATGCAAAAAAATCATTTTTAAAATATGTGGAAATAACTACTCTTTGCTTGAAGAAGGTTGTGAAACCAGAAACCCGTGTAGTAGAATTGTGGAAAATAGAGTATAATATATATTTTGAA